CATTGTGTGGATCAAATGAACGGAAGGTGCGTTCCAACTGGGAAATAAAGAGAAGATGAAAAGAGTTGTAGAAAACAGGATGGTTAACTACGTGTGTTCTGCCACATAAAAAGTAACTTTGAACTAAACTTGATTCAAAAATATTAATCGGGTACACCCAAACAGACTACATAAAATGGGGTAATGAAATTTAGGTTAGGTTCCGCAGGCGCGTAGGAATGACATGCACTTTCCATATTGTCGGTATGGCTCCGAAATTTTCACTTCGGCTAACTCCCCCACAGCATTGAAAAGGCTCAATGAAAAATGTTTGAGGCGCCTTGTTTGGAAAGTAGGACATTGCCACAGGAAGTGGTGAATCAATTGCTCCTCTTCCTCATCCCTGAGGGAGCTCGTTGGTACACGCCATTCATGAAGCATTGGTGTTAGGGTGCAGTGCCATCTGATGACGTCAGACGGCAGGTTGGGTTAGCGTCAATAATCCCTCAGTACGACAATTATTAAGTTTCGGTCATAAGAATCATGTAATCTCAGAACTGTCACAATTGATCCATAGGTTATTAGTTACGGCTGTGATGTAGGCGTAGGGAGTGAAAAGATCCTTCGACTCCACACCCTTGGGTGGACAATGTAACCAAGTGCAGAAGGATCTGTGCTATGTCCAGGAAGCCATCAGAGGAAGATTTTGACGTGACTCAATGAAGCCAGCGATGCACGATATCTCCGAATTACTTTCGACTTTACTCATTTGAAGCTAATTTTTTTAATATTGCCTGACAGGCTTATATTCAGGTACGCATCCTTTTATAAAGCCCAGCCTCGAACGTATTTCTTCGGAAACCGGGCGACCTCAGGAGTTAGTTGCTTAACCTTAACCGGTTACTGTAGATCTCTGTACGAACGGACGACCCTATGTTTTCGCCACCTCCACCTCAACGCGAGCTGCGGCACTGAAGACTTTTTCTACGGACGCACTAGCCGACTAACTAGCGTACCATGGTAGCCTTCAGCGCATGCACTGAGCATCCTGTGCCCTGGAGTAGAGAGAGTTCCACCCTGCGAGCAGCGTCTGTTGAGATTTCTTCAGTTGGTCACAGTGCCAACTTGATGATCTTTAGTAGGATCAAGAAGTTCAGCCGATCACAAAACCTTAAAGTCACCCACCAAGTTTGACGTATAGATTGCCGCCTGGCCATCTCACCGATCAAGAAGGAGCACAATGACTTCGTAAAGGTGAAAGTAGAAATTCTATTGGCGGTAGAGGATACACCAGTAAAGGCACCGAGAGAAGTCAAAGCACTCAGAGGCGGTACTCGGGCCTCTGTTGTGAAAGCAACAGATCGGAAGATCAAAGGTGTCATAAATGAAAGCAATAAATAAGGTAAGTTCCCTATGCACCAATGGAAGTAGAATTGTGGCGCTGTGTAAGATAGCAATCGACACAATAGGCTAAGTGTACTCAGGATCTCGTCTTAAAGTTGATGAGTCTCAAAATATCTTGTAAGGAGCCAGGGAGAAAGACGAGGTACCATCAGACCCTGCGGATGTGTTGACGATACCCCTAGCGGTTAAATCGTCGGAATTTAAAAGGTGTCTTTAGAACAGGAAAAAGTTCCTTTAAAATTATTATCCTTTGACATGTTATCCATATCCCTGATAAACTAAAAACGTACATTTGTTAGGGCTTAGCTCTATTGAGCCATAGTGTGATAATCTTAGTACAATATCTTAGGCAACAGGTTAATTTCAAGTAGTTGCGGTTTTCTAACGGAATCTTACAAATTATTATACTTTAGACTTATAATATTTTTACGACATATTTTTGGCGGAAGTCTAAAAATATAATAAGTTATAAAAGACCGAAGGCAAAACAGTACGCATTTTTTTGTATGGGAAGTGGTACACCCTAATACACATACATATTCATTACAAAAAAGCATGAAGAGAATATGCATATAGGATTCGCCAAAAAAAATTTACTTCTACCGCGCGACACTCTAATGAACGATACCAATTGCAAGGGATACCATTAAAACATGAACTCTTGGAAGTTTTTCAATCTATCTTCTCAGTTCTGCAATAATAACAAACAATCTATAACTAACCCAACTTCCCATTTCCCATACCTGATCTTTGGCTTTTCGATCCTCCTCCGGTTGGTGCGGTCGTCGACCCATTAGCTCGTGTATCGAATGAAATAAATCGCTCATTTCGCCACGTGATATTCGACCATCACCATTCACATCGTACAATTTGAAGGTCCATTTAACTTTGTCGTACACTGTACCGCGCAGCAGTGTTGACAGTATATTGAGAAAGTCCTATTTTGTAAAAAAAATATAGAAAAATAAAAATACAGACATTTCAATAGCAAATNTGTAGTAGATACATGTGTAACACATCGGCGTATACACAATACCATTAAATTCTTTAGTGTCAAATATCTGGCAATAATCCTTAATCGATAAGTTTGTAAAATTTATACAAAAAATTTTACTTATACGAATACTTACTGCCATGTGGAAAGAACTTTGCGTAGATTTCTTTGAAGCATTCTTCATGCACAACGCCTTCGGGACATTCCTGCAATAAGCAAAGAGAGCAAAATGAAGAGCTTATCACATGACCCGTATTGCAGGACAC